CCCCCTTTCCAAACCCCGCCCGAGCTATAAGCCCAATAGTTTTCTAAAGCAAATATCCTTCCAGTTAATAGCTTCCTCCGATATGAGCCTTCCTCTATTATCTGGCGTTTATGGACATAATCATTTATAAGAGATTGATTGGGGAATAACCGCTACATCCCAAACTCTTTTTCTGCCCTGTTGTAAGCCCACAAAATGATTCCAATTTCTTTTGGATGTGGCCGTTCGGAAAACTATAGCTTATTTGTAATCCTATAATGTTAATTTGCTTTAGTTCCTATTGAGCCAATCTGGAACATCAGCGCCAAGGATATTAGTTCATCTGCCATCAACGTCCAGTGGTCCGAATATTCTTTTTCAAGTAAATTTGCTGCTACAACTCAAGTAGCGTCATACGTGGCTGTTTGTATTGCTGTCAAGAACCACACCAACATATCTGTAGCGAGCACCTATGGCCAAGGCAGAAGTGTAAACGTCACTCATCTTGGAAAGTACACTGAATACTACGTACAAGTGGTTGCAGTTTTAGGCAACTCGAGTAACTCCACAAGTGCAATGCGAAATGAAACATCTTTTAGAAGGAGTACAAATGTCACCGTATGAACGATGGAAGATGGTAAAAAATGCGCTTTAGTGACGATCGTTATTTATATTACAATTACAATTACAATTACAATTTATTAATATTTAAAGATAATTTACAATAGTTAAATAAAATACACTCCCCCGCAAATAGCTAAGCTAGTCTGGGCGGGTTTGTGTTTAACAGAAGAAAGCAAGAAAAAAAATTTAAATGTTTACACACAAGAAATTCAATTAATAACATATAGAAGGAAATGTTGACTTTAGAACAAATAATGAAATTATTATATCGCGCTCTATTTTATTTAGAGGAAAAAGATTGGAGATTTCAACAACATAGCCATATCTATTTTATTTAATGGACTAATGGATTTAATGGCCATGGACTACTATGTCATGATTAAAATTTTGACTAAATGTCCGGTATTTCTTTTCTAGTTCCCAGCCAACCACCCGCAAACATTGTAGCACAAGTTAAAATCTCAGACACCATTTTGGTCAAGTGGGATCCTATTTCTAATGAATATGTACATGGAATACTTCAAGGGTATCATGTATACTATCAACCTGTTCGGTCTTCAAATAACAGCCAAGTGAGAGTGGAATTTGTAAATGCAAATGAAACGGCTGTAGTGTTACAAGAGCTTGGCTTTGGTACTGAATATCGCATTAGAGTGGCTGCTGTCTCACAGGCTGGTGAAGGACCACGAAGCAGAGCTGTGTTTGTGAGGACAGGTAAAACAGCATTTTATTGAGCTTGGGATGACGGGACAAAAAAAAAAAAAAAAAAAAAAAAAACACATACGGCGAATAACCAAAACTCCCATCCAGGAACAAGTTTATTGAAAGCAAGATTTGAATGAATATCCATTTTTTTCTTAACAGTTCTGGATTGCGATGAGGATCTCTCTGGAAGGCATGGGCAGTTCTCAAGTCCAAATTTTCCAAGTAACTATCCAAGTGTTGCTAACTGTGCATGGACCATCGGAAAGGGAATGAAATTCGAAATGATTATGATATTGTTCCACTCGTTTGAGTTAGAAGAGGGACATCATGGCATATGCAGGTAATTATTGAAAGATAGGATTCATAAATCTGAATAACAGCAACGTTTTAAGGGTAGGGGCGGGGAAGGGAGTTGGTGCCAAATCAAGGTTCGTGAGGTTCATAGTTTCCCTGCCACACTCTGTCAGTTTTGCTGATCTTCTTTTTTCCATTGTGTCTTCCTTTTACAATTATAAAAAAAAGCATTTATATCTCCTATTCCTAAATCTAGCGATAGCTCCGTTCAGACTGAAACTGACGTACAATATAATGCAATAACTTTATTTCATGAGGGAAACACAATAGATCAGATGCATGTTAGGTCATTGCCACCATCTTGGTTGACGATAACAAAGCATTCCTCATTAGCTTCTCTTGTTAGATCAACCAAGATGGCGGCTGTTTCATTGTTATTCATATCTCAAGTGATTTTGAGTCACATGGTTGCGCAAAAAAAAAGGATGCATAACATAAATTATTAAATGATATATACAATAAATACTACAATACTGGTTCGAAACACTATAAATATAACGGGAATTATAAATAAATAATATAACAAATAAATAACTTTAATGACAAGTCATTAATAAATGCAATGAAGAACAATGGTCCTAAGATGTTACTTGTGGCACAATACAATACAATACAATACAATACAATTTTATTTGCTCATACAAGAAAATTTACATGAAATGTGAAAAACAACTATAGAAAACAACTAAGAAARWAAAGAATAGATAATTGTCAAAAGAACATAATTCAGAGCCTGGGGTCTAAATTAACCATAAGGTTTTCGAGTTAGACCCCAGCAATTTAAAATTTAACATTGGAGTAAACTGAAGAAGAACCAAGTACATAAAAAATAATTACAATTTAACTGAACAATAAAACTGTTAATCGTTCTAACATGTTGTTGTTTAATTATGAGTTTGAAATTTTAAGATAGTATAAGCGGATTTATCGGCTTTAAAACGTCCCAAAAAGTAATATCGTACTTATTAATAAGAAAGAATGCCTGGTGACAACTGGTCAATATTTGGTTGCGAAACATGTCGCAGAACTGTGTCACCTCTATTTACTCTACGGTGAAAAATACATGAAGTATCTCACTAAATATATGGGCCACATCTTAAAACCAAGCTGGTCACAGGTGCCCAGTGAGGCAATGATGCATCATTTTTTCAATAACCATAAAAAATCTGAAGATCTTTAATTTTTTAATGAATACTGATATGCTTTACATGTGTAGACCTTAATTCCATTGTTTTCTTTTGTGTCTATTTGACTATTACACGTTGACTA